AGGGAGAAAGGTTGTTTTCTGCTGCTCCAGAGAAGCGGACACGGAGCAATGGATCCAAACTACAAGAAAGAAGATTCCACCTAAACATTAGGAAGAACTTCCTGACAGTAAGAGCTGTTCGACAGTGGAATTTGCTGCCAAGGAGTGTGGTGGAGTCTCCTTCTTTGGAGGTCTTTAAGCAGAGGCTTGACAACCATATGTCAGGAGTGCTCTGATGGTGTTTCCTGCTTGGCAGGGGGTTGGACTCGATGGCCCTTGTGGCCTCTTCCAACTCTATGATTCTATGATTCTATATTAGAAATAGCATCGAGGTGCTTGGAAAAGACTAGCCCTAGAGTTAGCTGCGCATCCCTTTAGAACGTGTCAGTGGAAGTGCACTGGGTAGTCTCTGTCAGTCAAGCTATAACATATCCTGACACCCCTTTTAGCAGAGAGCAGCTTGAAGGCTAAGTCAGGATGATGTCTTCAGCAGTGGGCGAGATCCGGGGTGGGGAGAGATGGAGGGAGCTGGCAAGGGGCTATGAGTGGAGCGGTATTAGTTCCATATTGTTGTTCCACTCGAAGGACACAGTGTGTCATAACAAATTACCATTAATTTGCACCAGCAGTACTGTTAGATTAAGACGGGCAAGCAATGATGACAAATAGAACTTGCGAGTTCGCCTAACGAGAGGGCAAGGCTGCATCGCCGGAGCCGCTTCTCTCAATTAGTGGACAAGGCTTTTAATGCCTCCGCGCCCAACCAAAGCAATTTTGATTACTCAGAGCTAAGCCTTCGCTTAGAAGAATCCAGAAGCTGAAATGCATCTCCCGCTCCCCCCACCCCGAACTCCACAGCTACTTCCCCCCCCTCCATCCCTTTTAAGCATAATTTATTTACGGAGCACTAATATAGAGAGAACCTGTATGGTTGCAAAAGAGCAAGATACTGGGTTCTCCAGCCCCCTGGTCTTGAACCGCTGGGTCCCATGACCCACAAGGGGGGCATGACTTGCCCCACCGAAAGATGAATCATGCGAACAGCACTGCAACCATCTTTCAGGAAGAGGTGAAAAACGAGAGACGGGAGGAGGCAGAAAGAAAGATCACAGATCTACAAACTTATTGGTAGGAACATAAAATGTACAAGGAGGAGCTAGAGGTAGATCTTGGGTCTAGAAGGGTTAAGGGTAGTAGAGCTTTATCCCAACCTGGGAAAATCCAGGCATTTTAAACTGCAGTTCCCATCATTCCCAATCAGCATGGATCAGGGATTATGGGTTTCTAGGTTCTCAGAAGGACAAAATTGATGCCTCATTCCAGCAGCACTGGAGGACAACCAAGGCCCCAGCATCATGGTAGGCTGAAGCCACAGCCAGGACCCAGTGAACCAGAGATTCTTGAGGAGTGATGGAGGAATCGGTCCCTTTCTTGCTTTATTTAAATATCCTGGCTCAGTATCAACAGGCTTATAAAACACATATTTTACTTTCTTATGAAGGTCCTCCCACAATTGCCCTACGACCAGTTTTTAAATGAAGGCCTTTTGAAATTTCCTGCTTTGTAATAACCAAAAGCTATTTGAACATACAGAATTATGGACTAATCGCTGCTCGGCCAATTTTGCCGAGTTTTCACAGGCGGCGGCAGAAGGGCGAGAGAATGCAATTTAGCTACAACTTCAAAGTCGTATTCTTCGTTATCATTGGAGCTGAGGCTCCTTTGTGTTCTTCCATCCCAATTTGGCTTTTCAAGTGAATGGGAACTAGTTGTTTACATTTGCTCATGCCATGTCATCTGGCAACAGAGTTCTGGATAATAAATTGGTCAGCGGCGGAATGGTTGTGTCGGAACGTGCATAAGCATTTTCAGTGGTGGCTGGTCTCCATTGTGACAGGTTGGGCAGAAGGCAGGGAGGCCAATAGGAGGCAGAGGCAGAGCCAACGATAGGTGAAGCCACAGCCAATAGCAGGTGGAGCCACCCCTGATTGACAGACTGAGCTTGGTGGGGCAGAACCCTCTTTGCCCTTGCAGACCATTTCCCATTGTCTTTTCTCATGATCTCACAGGCCAGGAATGATCCCCAAACCACGCTTTCCCAGAAACACAGTTTCCCACCTTTCTGTATGTTACAGTGATTTCAGTGGGAATGTTAAATATTCCTTCTCCTCAAGCAGGACCTGAGCACAACAGAGCTCTCCCTGCTTTTGATTCCCAGCAACCAGCGCGGGTGGCGCTGTGGGTTAAACCACAGAGTCTAGGACTTGCTGATCAGAAGGTCGGCGGTTCGAATCCCCGCGACAAGGTGAGCTCCCGTTGCTCAGTCCCTGCTCCTGCCAACCTAGCAGTTCGAAAGCACGTCAAAGTGCAAGTAGATAAATAGGTACCGCTCTGGCGGGAAGGTAAACGGTGTTTCTGTGCACTGCTCTGGTTTGCCAGAAGTGGCTTAGTCATGCTGGCCACATGACCCGGAAGCTGTACACCGGCTCCCTCGGCCAATAAAGCGAGATGAGCGCTGCAACCCCAGAGTCATCTGCGACTGGACCTAATGGTCAGGGGTCCCCTTTACCCTTTACTAGACATACACATACATTATGTTTCACATTTGTTCTTGCTCTCCTGAGCTGACTTCCCTCCTTCCTTCTTCCGGGCTTTTTTATGTCATCTTTAACTTTTCGCATTGTCTTTGTCCATTTTATATATAATTGTTGTTCTTCAATTTTTTTCCATAAAATGTCTGTAAACAAGCATAAGATGTCTGTAAACATCTCAGGGTGATGAAACATATAAAAAAGAATGGGGAAAATTTATGTTATATATAGAGAAGACAATGTGAAATAGGGAAACCAGTAGAACTAAAATAAACCTCATAACGGGAAAACACAAAAAGGTCATGTGGCGAACCAGAGCAGCGCACGGAAATGCCCTTTACCTTCCCGCCAGAGCGGTACCTATTTACCTACTTGCACCTCGTGCTTTCAAACTGCTAGGTTAGCAGGAGCAGGGGCCGAGCAACAGAAGCTCACCCCATCGCAGGGATTCGAACCACCAACCTTCTGATCAGCAAGTCCTAGGCTCTGTGGTTTAACCCATACATATCCCTGTGTATGTATAGTATGTAACTAAAAATTCAATAAAGATCATCTAAAAAGAGAGAGAGAGAGAGAGAGAGAAAGAAACTGAGTAAAGTTTTTTTTTCCCTGTCCACTTCCTCCATGTCATGTATATATAAACTTCTATCATGTTGCCACTTGCTTGCCTTTTCTCCAAAGTAAAAAGTCCCAAATGCTGCAACCTTCAGCCCCTTGATCATTTCCGCTGGCCTTTTGAAGGAAGAATGAACACACATTTGGGTTGGAGAATTCTATCAGGTGTGTCAGCTGACCAGGGAGGAAGTGGGCCAGGAGTGTCATGTGCAACGTGTGAGCTCCATCTTGTTCACCTCTTGATAGGAAGACCACACACCCCAATCACCACCCTGCTTCAACTAAAAAGTTGGGCTCTTAAGTTGCTCTACTCTCAAAAGGAGGGTGCCACATGGCGGTCTCACCTGCACGCCCCACAGCTGGCATAAATGCCACAGATAGCAAGCTCTCCCACAACACTAAGAAGGGCAGTGAGACGCCACCTAACAAATGCAACTTTAACAACAGTAAAACAACCTAATAGCTCAGCGTGCCAGGGGGTTAATGTGGCGGACCATTTAACGCTGAGCTAAATAGCCCTGGTTTGCTTCTCAATGCCAAGTGTCGAACTGAGGATTGCAATTGCAGGAGCGGTTCCTAATTCATTAGTTAAAGGGGGTCATTGCTCGTGGGGTGGGGGAGAAGGAGGGAAAGAGGGAAGAACTGGAGGGGGCGGAAATAGCAGGGGAAACTCGGAGAGACTCAAAGTCAGTACAAGGTTGGGCTCCTGCCGTTTGCCATATTTAGCTGCGCAGCCCCACAGGTGGCAGTGAAATTTGCACACACAGAGGTGGCTTCTTCTACAGCCCACATAAAGGAGCTGTATGAGAAAATGGGAGGATTGGAGGATCTTTTTGAAAATGTGCTGCATTCTCTTTTTTCCCCTACTTATTTTAGAATGGTTTCAGGGGAAGGAGGAACATTTTGACCCCAGTTAGAAGAAATCCCACCCTAATGTGCAGGACTCAACCTTCTTTCCAGCTCGCCACTACAAAATATTTTGAAATACAAACACGAAAACATTAAATATTTTAAAATGTGTACATAAGAACAGAGGAAGAGCTGTGTTGCACCAGGGCAATGGTCCATCACATTCAGCATCCTGGCCAGTCAGATGCCTGTGGGAAGCTTGCAAGTGGGACCTGGGTGCAAATCTCCACACTTGAGATTTCTAGCGAGGGGCATTCAGAGGCATACTGCCTCCAACAGTGGAGGGAGAAGATAGCTATTGTGGCTATCAGCCTAAACCAGAAGAAACACGCTGATGGAAACATACCCATTAAAGCAAGAAAAAGTGAAGGGATAAGCAAGCAAGGCAATCCTATATACACTTTTCTGGGTTTACGTCTGAATATAAATGTATAGGATTGTGCTGTTAGGCTGAACCCTATATGCATGTTGGTCTAAACCACAGAGCCTAGGGCTTGCCGATCAGAAGGTCGGCGGTTCGAATCCCCATGATGGGATGAGCTCCCGTTGTTCAGTCCCTGCTCCTGCCAACCTAGCAGTTTGAAAGCACGTCAAAGTGCAAGTAGAGAAATAGGTACCATTCCGGCGGGAAGGTAAACGGCGTTTCCGTGCACTGCTCTGGTTCGCCAGAAGCAGCTTAGTCCTGCTAGCCACATGACCCAGAAGCTGTCTGCAGACAAATGCCAACTCCCTCGGCCTATAGAGCAAGATGAGCGCCACAACCCCAGAGTCGTCCGCAACTGGACCTAATGATCAGGGTACCAGTACCTTTACCTTTACCTTTACTTACTGCTGATACATATAGTGATCAGCAATAGCTGTGTCGCAACATTAAGTTGTAAGTATGAGGAAACCATATTTTTAGAAGCAGCTGGATAGCTCACTTGGTTAGAGTGTGGTGCTGATAATGCCAAGGTTGCAGATTCGATCCTCGAATGGAACAGCTGCATATTCCTGCATTGCAGAGGGTTGGATTCGATGACCCTCGGGTCCCTTCCAGCTCTGTGATTCTATTATGCCTGATTATATTTTTTTATTTTTTTATTTATTCATCAATACTTAACCATGACTCTTATTGCTAACCTGGCCGTAAATGTCAACTATGCTCACCACTGGCTTGGCTGCACATCCTCACAAAAAAATCAATACATATGTGCAGAGAGAAAAAGAGAGAGACAATCTCACTGTCTTCTGAGCACCACCTTTCCAGTTGTCACAAAGGGCAGTAAGAAAGTGAGGGGGGGAGGAGGGAAAATAATAGACCCCAAATGGGTTACAGCAGAATACAACATTTCAATTAGACCTCGGCAAAGGGGAAGGCTTTCTTCCTGAACATTAACCCCCCCCCCCGAAACAAGCGATTTCTCTAATTCCTGCCATCATTCAGACTGGCCTTGAATTACCTCCTGATAGGCCTCCCATGCGCTTGCAGATGAGAGAGTGTAATGGGGATCTGTTAATTAACTAGAAGCAAAGTTGCACGGTGGGGATCAAACACTGGATGCGTCCTAAAACTCCCACAGAGAAGATGAAATGCAGCGCAAACTTTAAAGACTTCCCGTCATTAGCCAAGACCTTGGCTGCTCCTGGCCCAGACCCCTCCTGTTCCAGAGAACAATGAGGACAATGATGGCAGAAATGAAATGGTGCAGCAAGGAACAAAGGAATTAGCTATTTACCCACAGAGAATGAAAGGAAAGCTGGGGACAAAGATTGGCGGGGAGGGAGGGAAAAGACGCTTGCTTTTCCCGACGACGGTTCCTCTCTACTTTTAATTAATTTATGGCTGCCAGGGACCTGCACACAGAGCATGCCCAAAAGCATTGTGTGCTTGGAGCGCAGCTTTAAGAGCCTCGCGTAACATCTACTGTTTACTCTTCGGTGGAATAACAAAGCGGCCGGGAGGAGGCGGAGGAAGGAGGTCAGGAGCTGAGAAGGGGAGATGTTTTGCTTTCGGAAGAAATGGAAGGAGGGGACCAAAAGGTCACAGTGACCCCCTACTCTGCTTCCTAGGGGCCAATTTCCCTATGAAAAAGTGCACGGCTTCTCCTTGGATTTTCTTGGACGCAAACAGCAGTGTTAGGCAAAATGCAGCTGTGGACCACATCTGACTCATGACATTACTCAGCTGCTGTTTACGCTAAGTATTTTGCATAGTACTTGGCTCAGTACTGTCTACACCAGGGGTCAGCAACCTTTTTCAGCCGTGGGCCGGTCCACCATCCCTCAGACCTTGTGGGGGGCTGGACTATTTTGGGGGGGTGGGAATGAATGAATTCCTATGCCCCACAAATAACCCAGAGATGCATTTTAAATAAAAGCACACATTCTACTCATGTAAAAACACCAGGCAGGCCCCACAAATAACCCAGAGATGTGTTTTAAATAAAAGGACACATTATTCTCATGTAAAAACACACTGATTCCTTCCTACGACCAAACTTGGGGACCTGAGCAAAATATGGAGATAACCAAGCAGCCTCTGCAGTTGTTTTATGGTACACACCAGGTTTCACTCAGGAAGCGACTGAGACCCAATTTTGGTTGTCCATGATAAAGCGAATTAACTTTGAGAGCATGAAATTCTTCAGGTCACACGTGTTCCCCTACCATTTATATGACTGGCAATGAGACCTGGAGGTAATGCATGTGCCCCCACCCCCAAAAAATTGTCTCAAACTTATTTTTCATGTGGGGCAAGTTGCACAAGTGAGCCCTACCCATGGAGGCAACTATGGCTGCATTGGCCCCAGATCAGTGAGAACCAATATGGTGCCTATTATTATTATTATTATTATTATTATTATTATTATTTGAATTTATATACTGCCCTATACCCGGGGGTCTCAGGGAGGTTCACAGAAAAAAATCAAGATATAAAACAAAATACATAATAAAAACCAAAACAACAACCCAATAGCCCCTGTCGTAGTCCAATAACATCTGGAAGTTACCACACTGACTGCCCCCATGACCCTAGAACACATGGAGAGTACACCGACAGAGAAATCTACATGAGTCTATTAGGCATGGTGGCTCTTGAAGACCAGAAACCATATGGGAAACCTTTCCAAGCCTTGGGGCTGCAGATGTTGTAGGATGACACTTCTCATGGGGCATGCTGACTGAGGATAATGGTGTTTGTAGTCCTGGAATGCCTGGAGGCCAAAGGCATGGAAAAATTGCAAGGGGGTCTCCTACATGTACATTGGCAAGGGTGTCTCCAGATGCATAACACTGGTTGGGTCATTTGGGCTAGCACCAATCCGGTGTCCCCAGAAGGATGTCCAGCTTCATTCAGTAAATGAAGAAGCATCTTTGCTGTAGGGATCCTGATGTGGAGAAGAGCATTTGTCCACTTTTTATTCTTCTTTTAAATACGTAGAGAAGCAGGCTCCAACAGTAGAGACAGGGCATCGCACAGAACTACATGGCCAAGTGGGGATTTGAACCCTGGTCTCCCAGGCCTGGCACTCTAACCACTACACCACACTGCCTCTCAATTATCTTGTGGCTCAGCTTGACGCTTCAGTTTCATCACAGCCTGTTGCTGAACTGTGCCCAGCTCCAAGAAAGGAGCAACATTTTAACAGTGCTATGATATTCATGAAGCTTTGGGTCAATGCCAACGAGGCATAAATTAGGCTGATTTAGATTCCGCCCTCTTCCTGCCATTGCCAGCTGCTGCCCCCTGCTGCCTCCCTGAATGAGGCTCCAGTTGACAATGGTGGCACGAAGGAGAAAAGAGCAATGGCCGGCAACAGTTGAGAGCCAAGGCTCCCTAGGGAGTCGGCAAGGGGGTGTTCGTGGCCCCAGAGCTGGCATAATCGAGGGGGTGACTGACACCAGCATATGGTGCTACTCAAAACACTGCCCATATCTGCCCCAAAGTGCAGCCAAGGACTCCTTCTCTACATTTCCAGCAAAAGCTGCAGTAATGCGGGTCAAATTGCTGTGACCATCAAGGGGCCGTTTATTTGCAAAGTTTGGTTTTGTTCGCATTTTAATGAGAAACCACCTCATTCGCGCTTCTTGAACCATATGCCAATCAAAAGACAGCTATCCTCTGAAAGGCACACTTTTCTGAATTTTTCAATATAAATTTCAGCATGTATTTTTTGGGGGAAGAATGCCTAAAATGACTAAAATGAATAGATTAGTGAAAATAGTATATAATAATGCTTTATATTAGGGGAAACAGATTGCAAAATCCGTATGTTAGTCTAAACTACACAGAAAAATATGTTTTATTAGGAGAAACTCATGCAAAACTTTCCAGAGGATTTTTTTTAAAAATCCACAAAATTCTGCAGAAATGTGGATAACTGTATTTAAGATCGGAAAAATGAGAAACTGAAAGAAACCAAAATTCACAGACCCATCTACCCTTATTCCTAGTAGATCATTTTCATTGTACCAGAGTCTACGACTTACCGATCCCCGTGATGGGGTGAGCTCCCATTGGCAGGAGCGGTCCCTGCTCCTGCCAACCTAGCAGTTCAAAAGCACATCAAAGTGCAAGTAGATAAATAGGTACCGCTCCGGCGGGAAGGTAAACAGCGTTTCTGTGCGCTGCTCTGGTTCGCCAGAAGCGGTTTAGTCATGCTGGCCACATGACCCGGAAGCTGTACGCCGGCTCCCTCAGCCAATAAAGCGAGATGAGCGCTGCAACCCCAGAGTCGGCCACGACTGGACCTAATGGTCAGGGGTCCCTTTACCTTTACCTTTACCTAACCTACAATGTTTCCATGTCAATTTGAAGCAGCAAACCCTCTTCCTCTACTACTCTCGAACTTCCAGCTGCAGCCCAGCTAAAGGCTATGGGATTTTTCTTTGGGACCTAGGCAAGAATGCTTGACCCTAATTTTGGAAGCAAACTGCATTGATTTCTGCAGAAAACCTTTTTTCAAGCATTAAACGACCATCGATTATTGGATAGGGCTACCAATGCCAGAAGACGCACGTGGGCATGGGGGCGCCTTGGCAGGAACGGGAGGGGATGCTATTAAAACAGAAATGTCTCGTGCAAATACATCATATGATTGGATAATATTTTTTTGGATTAGCACTTTTGCAATCTAGTCAAGCCCCTCAGCCACAATTATTAAAGCACGAAACTGGCTGCATTAAATTGAAATCACCTGTGAAAGATACTTTCAAAGACTAATCTGCCAGTTCTCACATGCAAGCAAAATGGAGGTGGGGGGGAGATGATTGGTTAGCACAAGATAGTTTAGCCCTCTTCAGGTATTCTGTGTTAGGGTTAAGTAAGGACCCCTGGACGGTTAAGTCCAGCCAAAGGCGGCTATGGGGCTGCAGCGCTCATCTCTTTCAGGCTGAGGGAGCCGGCGTTTGTCCATAGACAGCTTTCCGGGTCATGTGGCTAGCATGAATAAACCACTTCTGGCGCAACAGGACACCATGATGGAAACCAGAGTGCATGGAAACGCCGTTTACCTTCCCACCACAGTGGTACCTATTTATCTACTTGCACTGGCGTGCTTTTGAACTGCTAGCTTGCCAGGAGCTGGGATAGAGCAACAGGAGCTCACCTCGTCATAGGGATTCGAACTGACGACCTTCCGATCAGCAAGCCCAAGAGGCTCAGTGGTTTAGACCACAGCACCACCTGCATCCCTTTGGGTTAAGTAAACGCATGAGCTGGTATGCATATGCTGTCTCTGTCCCCTTTCCACTATTTCGGCAACTCTCTGTGGAAAACCAGGGTTCCAAAATGTGCAGTGATTTCAGTTTACTGCAGCCAGTTTAAACCTAACACAGAAGCATCCAAAGAGGTCTACTTCTGCAACTATTGGTCCATTCCCAAGCCCTCTTACTGAATGAAACTAAGTGGGAGGAAAAAAATCTGATTGCAAGAAATAAAGTGTGCTTCCTGACGGTCAGTATTTTGCAGGAGAGATTCAAGCATATATTGGGAAATGTAGGTAT